TTCTTGATATTAAATTTATTGCTCTATTTTTATTATTGTCTTATGTAATTTTTTTTGGGATACCTGAGTCCGAGAAGCATTTTATGAGTGTTTTCAAGGTTTTGGAAAGAATCTTATTCGAACAAATAAATAGATATGTAGAAAAAACTATTTCATATAAAAATAGTGTTAAAGTTCTTTATTTTCTTGGTTATTCTAAAGTATTTGTTTGTGGTCGTCGATTTATTATAACGTATGCAGCTTAACTTGGTAGTCTTATAAGCTCTTATTCACAGAACCAGAAGCTTATAGATACGATGTGATCGTTATAATCCTTTGCTCGAACGTTGATGGGTATGATAAGGGGCACCATGGTTTATAGTTGTGGAGGTGACAAACAATGACTTTGCAAATACTATCCATTGTGAGTGGTCGCATATCGGTTTGATAAATGATGCCCGCAAACAATACAATGGTTAATATGCGAAACGAACGGTTATTGTAAAATGCCACGTATACATAATGGATATATGGCGAAGAAAAAAAAAGTTCTACGAAGTAATTAAGATTTTTTTTTTTGCAACATCGCATCGCAAGGATAATTTGAGCAACAAGATGAAATCGTTTAAATGTGGCAATTAGAAATTGTTTTTAGAAGAGTTGAATTGTCGCAATCTGTTGATTTTCTGCTTAAATAACGTGAAAAATGCAAGAACTGCTAACGTAGGATCACGCGATGAACCTTTGTAAAACGATCAAGAAATGACTGACATTTCAGTTACCCCGATAAGCGACAAATGGTGCGATCGCGCGCGAAAGTGTTAAGGACGATCGTTTAATCGCAACCTCACGTATTTTTACTCGCCGCCATAAATCTCTGAGCGAGCCGATGCTTGTTATCCTTTATGGCATGAGGATCAAAAGGTATTAATTACGGCTTGCAGTGATTCTTTCGTTATTTAATTATACCTACGATCTTCTGGAATAAAAAAGCGAAAGAAATAAGACGGCTCGGCAGTAGGCAGTAGACGGTGACATTGATCCTTTGAGAAGTTGTTAGTTTAGCCGTTAGTCACACGAACGGCGCCATCGTTGTATCCTATTAGTGTCCTTCACGGGACTAACAAACCCGGCATTGTTCGCGTGGCAGATCTAAACTGTTTCTATTTTCTTCTGGGGACATGTTTGTGACATTTTGGAGAATCTCTATTGTTACTGAGTTAGTACTCGTTACTGCTACCTACATAAATTTAACTTGTAAGGTAATGCAAAATATATTAGTTTAAAATAATCTTATTTTATTGCCTACATGTTAATTATTTTACTATAATAGCTATCCATAAAAGATGTTGAATACTAAGTAGAGTAAATAAATTATTTGTACATAAAACGTTTAATACGTGACTATGAAAAAGCTTGCTGATGTTTTCCACGCATATTCCCTTGTGGCATTAACCTCCCAAGGTGGTAAACATGCTAGGCACAGATAGTTGTCTTCAATAGTACCGTACAACTTACATTACGCTAGAACGTGACAGACATGAAATTATTCCAATGAGCGTTGGCATTCTCTGGGACTAGAAAGATTGTGTAATTACCGATGATTGAAACCGCTCGTATGGTTTCCTGTAAACTTGGAAACTTTACGGCCGGCATCGACTTTAATTGTATTTGCGCCATCCAATAACCTTTTACCACCAGAAATGTCATTGTACATATACACTTATCGTTAATTTCTCAAACGTATCTTCACTTTCGTAATAATTGTAATTATCAAGGTGTATAAGATATAATTAAATAAAACTGTGTTGTAATTTAATCATAAATTCTGCAAATAAAAATCAAATGCAATTTATATTCTATATTATACCTACTTTGAAAGTATTTTTATTCTAGATAAAATATGTTAAAACTGCATTATCTTGTTCTCGGTATTTGTATCTCTCTGCACGTTTATCAATGATGTTAAATATTAAGCCAAGGTAATTCACAAACATGTCGATAAATGCAATCGCGAGAGATAGCAAATTATCTACTTCCTAAAGATAACAATATTTGTTAGTTATTTTACATTTTTGGTTAAACAGAAAATTTAATGTTACTTAGAAAATAAGTAAAAAATTATTTCAAGAAATTATGTTGATTTTAATTAACAGTCCAAAATTAAGGTTCAAAACAATTTTCCCAACAATAAAAGAAAAACTAAAAGCGATAGGAGGAAATGTTCTCTATGAAAAAATATCTAAATTTATCTATAAAACCATTAGTGAAAATTATTTTTACCCATCATTAATGATTACCAACTTAGAAAGGTTAAAATCTTAACTCTTTCAAAATTCGCGATTTCTAAGTCATAATAGCCAATAAATCGAAAACTAAAAGACATGGAGGGAAATGTCTCTAATTAAAAAATGTTGTAAATTCGCCTATAAAACAAGTAGTAATAATTATTTTTATTTATCACTAATAATTGCTAAGTTAAAAGGGTTAAAATTCTAAGATACTCAAATTTAACGTTTTTGATATAAAAATCGTTAATAAACCAAAAACTAAAAGATATAGGAAGATAAGTTTCTTACAAAAAAAGTTTTAAATTAATCCAAAAAAACATCTAGAAACTCCATTTTGTTCCATAATTAAAAATTTTTAACTGGGGAGAGAAAGAATGATAAAATTTATGAATTTGCGTTTTTTACATTAATAGCGCCAATGGATAAAAAACCAAAGTAGGTAAGAATGATTGTGCTAGACAAAAAGAAATCTAAATTCATACTCAAAATTATTAGTGAAAATTATATTCATCCATAATTAATAATTACTAACTTAGAAACGTTAATATCTTAACTTCTTCAAAATTAGCGATTTTAGTGTTATAATAGCTAATAAATCAAAAACTAAATGATACAGGAGAAAATGTTTCTAATTAAAAAAGTTGTAAATTAACCTATAAAACAAGTAGTAATAATTATTTTTATAAATTGTTGATAAATCAGTAATAATTGCTAACATAAAAGGGTTAAAATTCTAAGATACTCAAATTTAACGTTTTTGATATGAAAATCGTTAATAAACCAAAAACTAAAAGATATAGGAAGATATGTTTCTTACAAAAAAAGTTTTAAATTAATCTAAAAAAACATCTAGAAACTCCATTTTGTTCCATCATTAACAATTTCTAACTTAGGAGAGAAAGAATGGGAAAATTCACGAATTTGCGTTTTTAACATTAACAGCGCCAATAGATTAAAAACCAAAAGAGGTAAGAAGGATCGTGTCAAACAAAAAAGAGTCTAAAACCATACTCAAAATTATTGGTGAAGATTATATTCATCCATTATTAATGATTATTAACTTAATAGGATTAATTTTTTAAAATACTCAAAATAAACAATTTTAACATCAAAATTGTTAATAAATCAAAAATTAAAGGAGTTGGGGAAATAAATTTCATACAAATATTGTTTTAAGTTGATTCTAGAAAAAAGTATTTTAATCCATCATTTAACCTAGAAGAGCTAAATTATTGAAACACTCAATCTTAACGTTTTTAACAGCAAAGTCGTTAATAAATCAAAAAACAAACGAAATATCCAATATTAATGGATAAAATATTGTAATTGAGTTGTTTAATAATTAATTTGTAGTTTTTAAGTTAACTTTAAGTCTACTTTTAGAACTTCTTATGAAAAAAAAAGAAACGATAAACTATCACCAACAATAAATCGATTTAAATCATTGATAATTGGATACTCTTCCTGCATTCAACGAGTTTTCTTTACTTCTCTTGAGGTGCAATTAGATATCTCATTAACAAATTGCAAAAAGTTTTTCCATCAAATAAACTGTAGTTATCATGACCGTAAGTGGTTAATTTTAGATCATAAGAAAATAATGACTATCTTATAGTATATATAAAACAGATTAGATATCCCCCATTAAAATAAATCGGTACTCGTTAATGTGTTTTTCTTTCTCACCGTGTTGAAATAGACATAAAGAGACCACATTGATGTTCGAGTACTCTTTGTTATTATTGTGACAGGTGCTTTATCAATGTTTTCTTTTCGTGTTGTATTTTTCTTACGGTGTTAAGAGGTATTGAAAAGAATCGGACCTTCCGAGAAACCCCTGGTTTTACTTACGAGGTGTCACTTTTCTCGGTTTGACTCTTTAGTTGTCGATAATGGAGAGTCATTCAAGTATTACCGCAAAAGAAGGTTAAACCGATAATGACTTGAAAAGTGAAATAAGAGACTATAATGGCATAAAATTTGAGATTTAATTTAAAATTCATTAAGATGGTTTACGAAAATTTTTCGGAAGTGTTAAAATTTTACGCCTGAATAAATAAGGCACTCGAAAGGTTTCGAGTGTCTATCTCACACCACAGTGCTAAAAATCCAGTAGAAATATAAGAGAGATAACCGAAGGGATCTTAAACGATATAATATCTGAGCTTGTATTGGTTCTCACGGACCACAAAGTGCTAATTGATCCGAACTGCTTTCAGTGCTAATTTTCTCGAACAATAACTTCAAAAATACACGAGCACGCGAAGAGTTTTTCGGAGGCACAAGCCAAAAATTCGAAATTCATTTTATACACAGTATAGGTAGAATACATTTACATAGTAAAATCCATAGATTAAACAGGAAATTTAGAATTATGTTAAGGTCGATAACTCGATTTGATTACATATCAAATGAACGTTTTAATTACCCGTTTACCATTTAAATAATTTCAAATAAAACTATCTCGTACTAAATAACTTTGCAATTACGAAATCCAATAAGAGAAGTTATAAATTTATTTGCTTTGATAAAATAAAGATGAAATAAAATGTAATGTAGTAATTAATTTATAGTGAAACGATTAGGAGGACATGAAATCATAAAAAAAATGTAGGTAAGTACATAAAGGTGGTAAATTACCTATCTAAATCTAACTCAACGAAAAATAATAAAATAATAATAATAAAAGCAATTTACTTAAACGCAATAAAACCACCTTTATTTACTTACCTCGTCCAGTGAAATCATTTCAGGAGAGTAAAGGCTCGGATCACGTGTGTAGTCACTTATTCGTTCACTAGATGTCGCACACATACCGTCACTTTAAATTTTACGCACTTGTATCGATCCATTATTTTACAAATTGAAAAAGTTAAATTTCTTTTGAATACGGTTACCGCATCGTGACGACCGTGGTAAGTATTCAGGAAATTTAAATGCTGGGTTACGCGACGATATTCATGAATAAGTTTCAAATGAAATTTAAATGTTCTTGATTGAGTGAAGATTTTGGTTTATTTATCGGATCACTTCACTATATATTTTTTTAATAAATTACAACGATTTCGGTTTAAAATGATGACATAAGGGGCACATACAAAAACTTGGTTGTTGACACTTTTATATTGGAGGGTTGAGGGAGCACATCTTGGTTAAATAATTTTGTTTTTTTTTTTTTTGTAAGTGAAACTAATTCCTACGTGAATAATTTGGCTGACGTCGATCGACTTACTTGATGATGGTACTTGTTCGGGATCGAAACGTCGGTCGTCGCACTTACGAAGTTGATCACCATCGTAGCGCGGCTGTGTGTCTCGATCTTCGGTCGCGAGAGAACTAAACGGAGTGGTCGGTCGAACGTTCGGACGGACTGAATGTCTGGCGCAGGGCCGAGAGCTTAGTCGTCAGTCGGTCGAGCGAAGGACCGCCCGTCTGCTACAATACACCAAAACATATACCGTTCATAACCTAACAACTATACCAACTACATTCATCTATGTATACAGAACTCTTATAATAATCCATTTCAAGACCTATTCACAACTGTATTAACAAAATTTGAAGGTGGTAAGACTGAATGAAGAGGTTAATCATCAATTTCCAAGAGGCCAACCTCAATTTTTACTTTCTGTTTAATTAATATTGATAATATGGATGATGTCAAGAGTTGTCATAAAAACGTAGCAAATATCAAGTAAGAATTAAAAGGAATCGACATGAAAAACTTTAGGAAAGAAGAACAATTAAGCAAGTTACCAAGCCGAAGTTGCTTGCGGCCGAGGCGCTACATTGTCTTGACCACATTATGAATCACATGGTAATCCTTGTAGAGTTTTGACAGTTTTTGCTGACTAAACCTCACTTGCTCCGATACCTTATAATGATTAACATGTAATTTAAATTTTCGTCAATTCAATGTGGAACCTCGGCATATCAAGAGAAACCATGAATCTACATTGTCTTAATCACGTGGTAATCCTTGTACTGCCTCGCCCACAAGCGACTTCAGCTTATCTGGAGAAACCTTAAATCTACCGAAACAAGCCCAGGTTGCTTGCGACCAAGGCACTACATTGTGTTGGCCATATTCAAAATAACATGGTTATTATTGTAAAACCTTGGTCGCATGCGACATCGGCTTAAGAGTGTTTTCCGCCAGAAAATTAACAATCACTCACAAAGAAAGGCACTGCACCAAAAGACCATGTCTCACACAAAAGTGAAACGGCTGCTGACCAAAACTTAGCCAGGTAGACTCTTATACTTTCTTTATGCATTGGTTCCTGTAATAGTGGATTAGATCAAAAATGACCAACGAAATCACTAACGAGTCTGATGACAATCCTGTAGAATATCAGCGCGTTAGAGTTTATTTATGAACTAGATATTCTGCAAGACAACTCCATTTAAAGGAGATTAATTTGGAGGGGACCAAACAGAGTGAGAAAATATTTGGTGTTTTGAAAATGCTATATGAGTAGGTAAGTAAGGTAAGCATGGTAAAAAAAGCTGCGTAAATTTAGGCTTATAGATACTCTTGAAACAGATAAGATGGAAGTAGAACCCAAGACACCGTCTAATCGTCAGGATGGATTTTACAACGATACAGAATAAGCGGAATTTTTTGTGGATCATTTGGAAACCTACTTCGCCAAAAAGAAAGAACCTTGAACAAGAAAAACATGCATCACTGCCAGAAAATTCGTGTTTATAGTCTACTGACCGGGTTATCGAACATTATGAAAATAATTCCGCTGCAGCGACTTCAAAATGAAGTCAAAGAATCCCCAAGAATCAATTTGGATTCAAGAAACGTAAGTTGTTCTGCACGTTATGAACCTCACTTGTACATTGGAACTTGATCAGAATGAAAAGCAACAAATTATTACGATACTATCCAGCATATGATGCCACTTTGGATCTACAGCAAAACAGTTCTCTCTTTTCTGGATTTCTTCTCTCAGTACCTTTGGTTTGTAATTTATTATTTCCTTTATTGTATCTACTTACTTCCTAAAAAAAACATCTACAAAACATTCAGTACAAACAAAGAAAAATATTTATTTTACCGGCAATAATTTAGTGCCAATTTCATTATCATTGACGGTGACGCTTAATTAGTAAAGTATTCGTGTAATTAACGATAATTTTAATGACACGTTAAAATCGATTCAAATTCTCACTACTTTTATCAATCCGTTTTGCATTATTAACGTTTCTGTTATTAAATCGCCAGATGTCAACTTCACTTTTATACTTAATACAAGTTCTAAACGATAACGGTGTATTAATTAAGATGATTCTAAAATCCGCCTTATGATTTAAATTCGTTGTAATAACCGTCCAAATCGCATAATTTGATGAATTTATAGTAAATGTTCCAGAAAATGATTTTTAACAACTCATATAATTGCGTTACGTTCCGTTATAGTTCTTCGGTCCGACAGTTTCACTTCCTAAATTGGATATTATATGGGGCGGCGAGCAAGGGTATTTTTATGCCCCTTTTTTAACATCCACTTGTTAAGTATTTTGTTGTGAGTTGTTCACACGGAACAATATAAAACAATGAAGCAAAATCTTGGGTGTTATTTTTATAGTAAGATTTTCTGGTAAGAGTAACCATGTAGCCACGATTTCTGTCACCATAAGCAATATCAAAATGCTTATTAAATATCATTATGTTTCTATATATATAATTGGCAGTGTTTATTACTTAAATTTATTATATAATAAGCAATTTGCAAAGATAATGATGTATTACTATGGTACTAGTAAAATCATCTTAACATTTCCATAAAACTTTTTGAAATGCTAACTATTAACCTAATTAAATTAATGTTTATGTTAAATGAAAGTAATAAAATTTTTACTATTTCTATTTTGGATCATGATTTTTTTGTTTTTATAATTTAATCTTTACCATAGCATAATTATACTTTATCTAAGTAAATTTTATGCGATACTTGAATAAATGTTATATGATAATTATCTTTTTTTGCGGCACGAATATGAATATTACCGTATGTGTTTCTCAATGTCATGCACGTATACTCGATAAACAGTAATTCATAGCAACCATTGGTATGGTTGGCATTTTCTAATGAGAGCATTTTCAGCTTGTTAGTAAGTTGCTCATTAATTAACAGCACGCTAACCAAACGAATGCACCTACTAATACCGCCTAATTTAGAATTATCGGCTATTTTAAATTAAATAAAAGTATTTTCACCAGAAAAGTATGGTAAACATAGTTTTGCGAAGGTTAAATCCCCCTTTCAGACATTATAGAGCTGATCTCAAACTATGCCATTTCGTAATTTATACCACATACAAACAGATAAACCCAAAACGTTTCATTATTTTGCGACGTATTTGTGGTACATGTACACAAAATACACACTTTTCAACATTTTCTTTACTTAAGTAAGATAAATCTATTTGCTTACTCAAAATAACATCGATAATAAAAATATTAGCACGTATATTTTTCGATTCAACAGAGACAGCCTTGATTCATATAAGTACTGAGTTTTATATTCAAACATTCATTCATCATCACATCTATTTATAAAAAAGCAGTACAGTAAAACCTCGATATAACGGATTAATACAGGCAGGGGAATAAAAAATTATTAATTAATGCATACAAATTTGAACTGTTATCTACAACGTTATGTTTTTAATTAGTCCAATTAAATTTTAATTTTAGTCCAATGAAAAAACTACAAAAGTAGAACTAAACTTAAAGTAGAACTAAAACTAGAACTAACATTCTAGAAACATTCAGGATTCCAACGCTGAATAACAACTAAACCTAGAGCAAACACTGTAACTAGAACTAACACTAGACCTAGAACTAGGAACATTCGGATTTAGCCGCACGTCTCTCAAGACGACTAAACCCGAATGTCTCTAGTTCTAGGTCTTGTGTTAGTTCTAGTGATAGTGTAAAACTAGAACTAACACTAGACCTAGAACTAGAAAGTTCTTCTTAGTTCTCGTCTTAGACGCACGGCTAAACCCGAAACTTTTTAGTTCTAGGTCTAGTGTTAGTTCTAGTTTTAATTCAATACAAATATGCAACACAGTGATATCTAAGGTAACTAGCGCTACCTAGCACTGTCACTAGAACTAACATTTGACCACAAAATATACCACAATCTAGCGCTGAGAAATGATTCTAGTTCTAGGTCTTGTGTTAGTTCTAATAATAATGCTAGTGTAAAGCAAGAACTAACACTAGACCTAGAACTAGAAAGTTTCATAACTAAAAATTTTAAATCTGATTTTATAAGATTAAATTCCTTATATTAAAGTAATAATGAGTGGGTGGTTTATATAACGTCCCCAAGCTACAAACTTGCTTATTGCGTAATGATATATGAAACAATAGAGCATTCGTAATTTTTTAATAATGACAAGGCACGTTCAGGCTTTATTTGCACAACGACGGACTGCGTATACACGGAAAGTCACGTTAATTAAACGTTTACGACTAAAACGGTGACCCGTACACTTTCCGGTATTGGGAAAGCTTTTATGTCGCCCCGCCATGTTCTGTTCAGAACGCCCCATTTGGTACGTTTTGTGTAAATAAAAACGTGCGCCGAGGAAGTTTACATTATTACAGGACCGGCATTCACAAATATTTAACATGGAAAAGAATTGACGAAGAAATACAAAAAGAAATATTTCTTTTACCTTGATGACTTTTTATTTTATCCTAGAACGTGACCTTCCTAAAAATCAAGGTGAATTCTTGTTAAAGTAAATGAATTGATATATCTAGATAAGGTGTTGAAGTATGCATGATAGAAAAAAATATATATAACTACATATCTGCAGTTGGCAGTTGCGATCGGTGTCTTTGCTGGTTGTAAGGTTGAGTGTCGTAACCAACACCACGAGTGTAATATGCGTGCTGGCTGAAGAAACAAGCTGCGGAAACACGGAAGACGACGAAAGTGGGATAGCAAATCTACGGTTTAGATGAAATATGTTTCAACTGCAAGTTAAAGTGTGGGAAGCGTTTCGTTACGAAACGTGTCAGAAAAGGCATTTATATTTTTCTTTTTCTTATTTTATGCGTATAGTTAATTTATCCAGCTGTTTACAATCTCATTATCTTATTCCTTTCTAAACCATTCGAACAACTTGTTGTTAAGGAATACCAAAGAAGAAGACGGAAATAATATTAGTTGTGACTTTTTCACAATTTATCATTACTTACACATTTTTATTACCTTTTAATACCCATACACAAAAAATTTTATATGAAATAGTATAATTTACATCGTATAATTTACAACGTATCTTCTAATAAACGC